GAAATGCAGAACATTTATTTTGGGACCTGCAAAGGCACAGATGCAATTAACATAGGGACCAAAGAATAAAATAAGTGACATCCGTTTCATACAAATTGTATGCACTCCATATGTTTTGTGTGTCCTTATTCAGACCATGAAGTGGTGTAGGAGATGCTGCCACAGCATAGCTGCTTCCCAGGCTGCTTTAGTACGTAAGAGGAAAAATGACCATGTGGGTGGTCTGACTGTAGCGTTTCCCACACTAACATTTCTCCGCTCAGCAGGCAGCCAGGCAAAGTAACTCTGTCTCGTGAATAAGATACTGGTTCACTTTCCTCAAAAGTTACCAGGATGGTCAAGAAAGCAGCCACAGGGTGCTGAAGGCTGTGCTGCATGTTTGCTTGTTTTGATGATCAGAACTCAAGTATGCCTGGGGAGCGAGGACCAACATTCCTAACAATGAAAGTTGCATCCTTTTCATGTATGCCCATTGTCTTTGCTTCCAGATCTATTTCTGGTTTTGCACCATCCTTCCCCCTCTCCACCCATTGATTCTGGGTATTCTTAGTGGCAAGAGTTGCATGGGCAATACAAGCGAGTTTTAGGCTCACACAATGAACATGACAATTGCCTAGACACTGTTGGATGTTAGATGAACCACACAGTTTATAAGGACAAGAGCGGACCTGTTCATTCAGAAGAACTAGACCTTGGATTTGTATACTAAATGGATAAGTTCTTGCTCTAGAACATATTCACAAACAAGCAATTCTATTATGTGTATTGTTGTTGTTATGTCCCTCAAATCAAATGGCAACCTTATGAAGGAAAACCTTCCAAAATGTCCAATGACAGCCTTTCTTAGCTGTTCCAAATTCAAGTCTGTGGGTTCTTTAAATGAGTCAATCCATCTCATATTTGGCGTTCCTGTTCCTCTTCTGCCTTTGATTTTCCCTAGCATGTTTGTCTTCTTCAGGGAGTTTTGCCTTCTGATATTGTGTCCAAAGTATGAATTTTGTCATTTTTTGCTTTTAAGGAAAGCTCTGGCTTGATTTAATCTAGGACATACCTGTTGCCTTTCTGTTGGTCCAGGTTACTCACGAACATATCATCTAACAGATGCATCAATATTATCCCCATCAGGTTTTTTTTTTTCATTTTTCAGTCTTCACATTTATGCATACTAATGTGTAAGTAAGATTGTATGTAAGCTGCCCAGAGAGCCTATGGCTAATCAAGCAGCATATAAATCAATAATTGGGAATACAATACTGTGGATGAACTTGGCCTTGGTCTCCTGTGACAATCCCTTATGAGATGGCCTTTCTTATTTTTTCCATTGCTGCCCTTCCAGGTCTCAGTCTTTTTCAAATTACTTTGGCTGCAGTCTCCGTTTGAAATGATAACCGAGCCAACGTATGTAAAAATTTTCACAATTTCAATTTATTCATTGTTAACAGTGCAGTTCTGTAATTCTTCTGTTGTCAAGTTTTTTGTTTTCTCAATATTCAGCTGCAGTCCTGCTTCCACACTTGCTTCTTTTACTTTCATCAGGAGTTGTTTCAATTTCCTGCTGCACTCTGTCAATTGTCATCTGCATATCTTAAATTACTGATGGATCTTCCTGCAATTTTCACTCTTTCCTCTTATTCTATTCCAGCTTTTCTTATGATATGTTCCGACAGGAAATAAAATACACCTTTGTCTGATGCCTTTGTCTTTGGGAAACTATTCTGTTTTTCCATATTCTGTCCACACAGTAGCTTCTTGTCCATGATAAAAGGTACACATCAGAACAATCAAGTGCTGGGCCGCACCCATTTCTTTCAGATACATCCAAATCTTCTCATGATCCACATAGTTAAAGGCTTTGCAATAGTCTATAACACAGAGACTGATCTTCTGAAAATTTTTGGTGTAGCCAACATATATCTCCAATATGATCTTGAGTGCCTCTTCCTTTTTAGAATCCAGACTGAATGTCAGATATGCATCCAAGAGATTATATGCGTTAAGCTAGAGTGTTTAGATACACTGATTACCAGAAATGCTGAATTTCTATAACCAGTAGAGACCTATAGAAATGCACCACACAGTTGCACAGATACCAAGAATGGCAGAGCTGACCCATTACCTATATGAATTTGACTCTGCAGGTCTATCTTATAAATGAAAGCCAGTTCACAGCTTATCTGAGTTTATTTAGTTATTTAAAATATTTATATCCCACCCTTCATCAGACTATATCTCGTATAGTTTAAAAGGCAGTTTACCTGCACAAATCCTCCATTTCCAGATCTTGCTGTGGAAGTTGTAAGTTAAAACTGGGTTTGAAGTATTTTAAATGTACGATATATACATGCCAACAGAATTTAGTGGCTACCTCTGAGACTTGCTGTTTGCAATGTTAATTCTAAGTCACTGCAACATCTGAACCACTGCAACATTTGTAGCTAATTACATTCTGATAAATCAACAACCAGTCCTACACCAGTTTGCATTTACTTGTGAGCAGAAAGCATCCATAGGAAGGCAATGTTACTATATAATTGGAACAACTCCCTTGGCACTTTCTAAAAGTACCAGCAAAGACCATTTTTCCCCACAATAACTTATTTCCACAGTTTAGGAGATGACTGTGTGCAAACTTTATTCAGCAAATACAGCAAGCAAGAAATCCTAGTTCTCAAAAAGAATAATAATGGCACCATAGTTTCATTTAAGTTCCTACACTGTAGCCATAAGCACATCCATGATATAATAAGAATTAAAATGCTTATTTCTTTAAATGATCCTGTTTTCTTATGTGTGTTCTATTTTCCTGTCCTTTTCTTTCAATATAGAGTAAAATTCCCTAAGAAAAAAATTATAAAGCCAGACCGCCAATTTTTCTTCTATGTAACCATCTTCTAAACCCCATAAATGACTGCTCATTAGTCTGTCAATGTTTATAATGGCTTTCAAAACCGTAACAAGAATTAAAAATAGTTCAGTGAGCAGAAATGGACATTAATTTGTCATACTTAAATATGAATGCTTGAATGAGCGATCCTCAGTCCCCCGCCCCCTCTGCCCCAAGTTCCAAAATCAAATGCTTGCTAATTTATTGCTTGCTACCTGTACCTTACCCATCAAGAACTGCTTGAAAACAGTCTACCTAACTGAGTCATCTCAAGATGATTTATGTCTTAGGACAGACGACTGCCCTGTGACAGAAGAGACAGTGGAACAATGAGAACATTCTGCTGCTTAAATGTTGTTTTGTTCTGGAAGAACAAATCAAGGACTGATTGTAAGAAAAGGGCAGACACAAGGTGGGGTGGGGGGAGAAAAGCTGATCTAACCCCAAAAGAGCAATGTCATGCAGAGTCTGTCTAAACATCAGAAAGAGATTAAAGGTTGAGAGTGTATGAAACATTTGTCCACTGAGTAACCTGCATGAGCTCTGAAGCAAAATTAACATAAGGTAGCACCCCACAAAGCAGCAACATCCCCTTGAAGTAATAAAGGGTCCGTGCTTCAAGAGGACCTAGCAGGTACATGGGAACCACCCCTGAAGTGTGTATTTTAGAATAAGAGAGCTTCAAACAAAGACCTTCATTTTGGTGCAGCATAAAAGCTCCAGCCAGCACACTCAGGAATTGTTTGTTCCATATTGTTTTCCTGTTAGATAATTGCATGAATTGTGAGATAAATCTCAAAAGACAACATTCTTTGTCCTATTTGTCTTTAAGATGAAAAAGGAGAACGTGGAAGAAAGGGAGCATGAGTTGTGCTTCCAAAGGAGTCCCACTCCTCAGTGCATTTGTTGTTATCACATGTGTAACCACCATAGGGTATATCTAAGCAGTCAAGAAGGAAAGGGAAGAATTTTGCAAGATTTATTCGACTTTGTTATATGAGATGCTAGCCGTGAAGAGCTTTCGTTAAACCTAAAGACTTTTATGAACATAAAATCAAATTAAACAGCACATTAAGGGTTCTATCTTCTCTGACTGATGTGCACGCGCAAACAACTCTCATTAACGATAATGGCAGTTACGCACGCGCATCAATCGGAGAACAGATCCCTAAGTGCTTTATTGTTTTTCCTGGAGATTTTTCTCTATTGGACTTTAATTAAGCTCCTGCTAGGCTTGCAAGTTTTCAGATTTTTAGGGCTTGTTTTTTCCCTAAGAAAACAAAAGTGAAATCAGCTTCTTTGCCAGATAAGCCCCCACCCACCTCCATTTGTTACAGTTTGCCAAAGATATCAAAATTTAAGGTCTGTTAGAAGTGAGACAACTAGAGTTACCTTCAAAGTGCTTGTTATCCTAAACCGGGTTTGCCAACTGACCACTCAAAAAAGAAAGAAAGGAAGAAAGAAAGATGCCCCGGCCTGTTCCTGCGACTTAACAGCAGCTTGATTTACACAAATCAGCAGGTGAAGCTTTTCAAGACATGGAGATAAGTATTATCACCTGCTATATAGCGAAATAAACATGCTGTTAAAAGCACAGCTGCAGGATAGCAAACCTAAGTTGGCAAGCAATTCAAACAAAGTGAAAGTGAGAAAGAAAAATGAAGATGCTATGAATACACATGCATTGTATTATTGGACATCATGGGGCAGATGTATAAACTTGGATCGCAGCAAACGTCCCTCAACCTGCACTGTTATTACACAAACTATTTCAATTATTTCTCTTAAAGACATGAATTCATCATCTTGTAATTTATGAATATTAATCCTGACTAGCAGTCGTATGTTTTGGGTGCATGAATTATGAGCATAACATGTCTAATTACGAAACAACACCTATGCACTTGCCTACTTCTCTCACTGCGCCGAGCTCCTGTAAGACAGACAGTTTCCTTAAAACAGATAGACAAAAGCTGAAGCAATTCAAATAAGAAGTAGATGTGGAAAGGCTAGAACAGGTAAAACAACATTTGGGATGCATCGTCCTCCATTTGGGGCACTTTTTTAAAAGCACATAGGCTATTTAATTAACTGCTACTGTATGTGATGTACTTACTTATTGCCTCCACAAACTGTTCAAAGAAGCAGTATGGGAACAGTGGCTCAGGCAGCTCTCTGAAAAACATCTTGAGTGCTCCGGTGACAACGTGGATGTCCTCCCACTGGCTGTCGTCCAAATTCAGCTTCTCTTCTGGGAAAACATGAGGAGAAATGGAACAACTGGTTTTAATGAAACAATTACAAGACACTAATTATTATGTTAATGTTTGCCTACTATCATCAGCAACCGTTAACAGCCTTCTGCACCTAGAGGTTTGGTGCTGTGCATGGTTTCCCCCCCCCTTTTCTTTTCTTTTTTTCTTTTTCCGTAGGAAGAGAACATTTTCAATGGAATACCATCTGTAGGAATGCAGCTAACAAAAAAACAAGAGGCACAAAGAGACAGTAGCATTGACACAGTATGTCAGATACATTTATTCCCATAATGCATCAGTAGGAAAAATTAGCATCACAGCTCAACATGATTCAAAGCTGTTTGGTTTCGAGGCCGAGGGGCTAAGAGTTGCCAATGATGCCCGGCTCCAGGGACTGGCCTAAAGGCCTTGCCGAGCCAACAGGAGACATATGCTAAACATGGCAAAACAAAATGAGTTATTGCTTTACATGTGTTAGTCTTGCTATGTACAAGGGAATAATGGGCAAGACTTTTCTTCTTCTTCTTTTCCTGAATATAATTTCAGCTAGGAATTCAGCAGAGTGTTTAGAGGAATGGTGTGTGTGTGTTTGGGGGCAGAGATATTAATTCTTCCTTGCTGCTTCAAAAATATTTTGTTTGGTTTTTCAACTCTGGGAGGAGGGTTTGCCCAGCAACAATATTAGACAGACCCCTGTTGGCCTACCTAGGCTATGCAAAGCTGTCAAAAATGATAACACGCTAAAGACAAACCACAAGTGCTTGCAAAACTGATTTTCTCAACAACAGAAATCTTTTCTTTTGAAGCCTGACTGAGCTGGAAAATTTAAATATAAAAGGGGAAGAAATGCAAAAAAAATTCTAATAAAAAGATGGGGTGATTATTACTTTGCTTTCCTTTGAATGCTTATTAGAAACATCTGGTATTATTATTAGGCTACAATAAACAACAGAATCACAGACCTGACAAAACTCTGAAGAACTGAAAACGGTTGTCACTCTGAATTAAAAGGAAGCAAAGTTCTTTACAATATCACCTGTTCTAGAAATGGATAGAATTCATAACAATGTGATATTGCTTTTACTTAAGAGATATTTTCACTCTTTATGCTAGTGGATATCTAACTAATAGATTACTACTGGAAGAAAAATAATCCAAACGTCTTAAAAAGACAATACTGGCAATTTCAACCAAAAGTTGACTAGGGCTTTGTCAATTTGTATTGTCTTTTTGGAAAAACATTGGGGATCCTATGGAGCCACCCCCACCCCATATAGAACAATTATTATTTTCTCTATGAGGAATTTGCTGATCCTAAAAATTCTTTTCAAATAAGCAAGAGACTACAGTACAGACAGAAAAGCACACTTTTTATTGGTTCTTCTTAAAAGAAGAAGAAAAAACAAATACTCTGATTTTTTTATCCACATAAAAAATACTTTGCTCTTGAAATTGAATTAGAAGAGTGGATTGAAACAACAACAAGATCAGATTTGATTGATTGTATTTTGACAATTAGCCTTTTATTTTTTTCCACACACCATTGAAATAGACAGACAGCATCTTAGCAGGCCAGTTTTACACAGTTATCTGCTCACAATAGCATCAAAAAGAGAGACCTGATGGGGTTTACTGCCACTTTAAAGAACAGGGTGGGTTTTCACATTGTTGAAATCTGTCAGATATTTTGAAATGTCCCTCTCACTATGGTGCCACACCCCCTGCGTGCCCTTATAATAAAATTGGTTTTACTCCTGATTAAATCATTTTCTCCCTACCCACTCCCATACTTCTCATAATGGACCTGTGTGCACTACAGCTGGTGTTCTTCCCATGGTACCAATTCTTACTTTATCTTTTAAGCACTTTGCTGCTAAGATCTCATGCAGAGTGCTTATGCTTTGTTAAGAGCTTCATTCTTAGAGAAATAGCTTAACACATGTTCTAAAAATGTTGTACAACTTATTGCTTAAAACACATTTCGGAAATATATAAGTACTGTAGTTCTGGCACGAAAACCTTTAAGTGGAAATTAAAAAAAAAACACCTTTATTTGGCTTGGTAGGTTTTTTCCTCTTTCTTTCTTTCTTTCTTTCTTTCTTTCTTTCTTTCTTTCTTTCTTTCTCTGTGCATTTGGTTTATACATCTAAAGTGGAATGAATCGATTCAAAGACTACCAAGAATTGTCTCCCAGATTGTTGCATGGTTTCAAGCTCTTCGAAGAAATGTGTTAGGAATGATCATCTTGAAAGCAAAGGGTGTCAATATACCCTGAAGCAATAAAGTGTCATAAAAAATGTTTGTTAAGAGGGAAGCACGCCAAATTAAAAGGGCAAAAAAAGAATTGCAATTAAAAGGTAATGTTCAGATATTTATTATTAGCCAAGGTCTCAAGGGGGACCTAAAGGAGGACCTCTGTGGAGAACTGTCAGTTGCAAGAAGGTGTGCATGCATGCATACCACTGCAAGCACGATGGCAAAGTTGCTTGGCTGTATCAGGTGAGTTAGCAGGCAGCTTGACTTTGATCACAATGTATTTTGTGCATTGTCACTTATCATTCATTCTGTCATCTGCCCATTGACAGAATCAGTTTCTTTCCTCAGAATCCTTTCCTTTCAGTTTAGTTGTGCTAATTTATATTAGCACTAATGCACATTAGCACAAGTGTACATTAACATAAATGTGCTCTTCCACAAATGTCCTAATGCTTGTTAGTTAATGCAAATAAAAGCAAATCCCTCACAAAAGTGAAAAACTGATTCCCAGTAACCTGAAGAAAGCTAGTCAGCTGCAGAACATGTGGGCCTAGGAAAGTCTTGGCAATTATAGGCGGCCTATAAATATAAACAAACAAACAAACAAACAAACCTCTGCACTCATTTGAATCTGTGGTGGATTTCTCTAACATTCTTCATATGACTTTGCAAGACATTTAGATCTTTTGAGGAACAAAATAATAATAGTGGCAACAAAGAACCTGCAGCAAAGTTATTTTCACTCTAACAGGAGTTCCAGTTGTGCATTCCTCTTTGTTATTGATTCAAAGTAGCTAAATCATCGTCAAAAACTCTCCCTCCCTCCTGCCCCCACTGAGTACAAGTCAGCCATCATTGGGCAGTTTTGGGAGAGGGTAGAGCCCTTAGGTATTTAAAATGCACACACACATCTTCTGCAAGTTTCTCTCCAGCATGTTGATAGTTGTCCTGTACTGGGTCCATTTCTGTTGGCAGGTGGACAATTAGACCAGGATTAGACACGATAGCAGTGACAACAAGAAAATCGGAATTTTCACTTGGCCCTAAAGCTCCCTGGGTCACTTCAGCCTCTGCAAACAATCCTTTTAGGAGGAGCATTTATCTTCACTGAGGGTCTGCTTGGGGCAGCAGGTTGGATACTTATATGGGGTGCTAGTCTGTCTGGGTCCATATAAGTTTAAATAGTGTATTTTTAAATGAATCCAGTGCTATAAACTGTCATGAGTTTCTAGAAAACATTCCTTCCAGAAGGTACCATTTTTCCCCAACAACTGCTCTGCATCTCGCAATGGGCCTGTGTAGTCCATCACTTGTGCTTTTCCCATGGTAACAATTGTTACTGCACCTTCAGGGTTAGTCAGGTGTGCATGGTTTTATCACTGTCAATTATGACAATATAAGCTGCTTTGTGAGCTCTTGGTCATGGTACGGAAAAAGTAAAAATGGATAAACAAACACAATATTCTGAACATTTTCAGAAAAGATCTTCAATCTGAGAATTCACTGGATATTTTGCTCTGGTTGAGATTCAGTACTGGAGTATAAGTAGCTAAGGGCCACTTCTAATGCAACTTTTTAATGAGCACATATTTTTAAAAAATGGCTTTTAAATTATTAAAAGCTGAGCAGTGAATATGTAAAATGTCATTGCATATTGGATAATCATAAGTCTCATTAATTAATTAAAATATTTATATCCCTTCTTTCCCATCTCACAAGATGCTCACGGTGGCTAAAAACAGTATAAAACAATCATACAATTCAATGACAACAACAAAGCAAACCAAATCATATAGAAGATATTCAGCAGCAAAATTCAGCAAAATTTAGAAGCCAGCTAAACCATACATTTACTGGAATAGAAGCAGCCTGGTAGATGGATAGAAAGGATTCTGTGCAAAGGTGCAGTCCGTCAAATAGCCTGGTCCTAGATAACTGATCTCCATTGCTACTGGTCAGCATCACGGGACCAATGCCCCAGTAAGGGATCGATTGCCAACCTTAGAGCTCCCTTAGCCTTGCCACTTGTCCTGCTTGCTGTCACTGCCCTCTGTGAGTGAGTGAAGAGTGACATGAGCAAGGAGAAGGAACGGAAACCTCTAATCACTTCTTCCCCTAAGCAACTGTTGAGGATGGACTCAAAGGGCAGCTGAATGGACAGGATGATGGCAGTGAAAAGGCCAAGAGCCCACTGAGGGTAATTTGCAAAATCTGCCTTTAAAATCTTGAACCAGTGCCATGTCATCTGGTGTAATGGTCTCTAAGCCTTTGCTGGAATGATCTTTTGATTAGCAAGTGCACATATGAAGGTCCTTGTCAGCATCAAGGCCAAGCTACTGTCCAGATACAGTACTTCGTAGGCCACAATTTGGCTTTTTCTTGGTTAGATGACCACATTATGGCACAAATAGCTGAGATTTCCAGGAGAGGCAACAACAGCATCAGCTACAGTGTATTTGCTTCTTTCCAGATGTTGAACTGTCCTCTCTCTCCTTTGTCTCTTCAGGGTCTGTTGCTGGTTGACTTGTTATCTTGAGAGCCAGCTTGGAGAAATGAGATTTGGAGCTCTTTCAAGGATTCTCAAGGACCAAGAAGGAATATTGCTTCTCTCTTGATTTGTCTGATGCTCTCCCTTCTCTTTTTGTATTTATGTTTTTGTCCTGCAGCCAGAATTCTTTCCTTAAACTCTGATGCTGGGGTGCCAGAGACTGACTGAAGTTTCTCCCACTATGATGGCTGT